CCAAGGCAGAATGCTTTAAAGGCTTGATGCTTTGGTCTTCATGACATATCATTTAGGTATATTAAAACATGGACTTTAAAATACTGACTACAAAGACTCTTGCTTAGAAATATGGATCCCTTAAAGCAAAAGAACAGTTACAACTGGCACAACATTCTTGTTTCTAATTTTTAAGGCTCTCAAATTTTAATCTTGTTTGGGAGTCATGCCACTAAAAGCTAGAATAGAAAACCAGGTTTTAGGAAAGAATTTTTCATTTCCAGGAAATAGCTTTTATAAAGAGAAAGAATTTTTTCTTAAAAGAGGAAAGGGAGCAGATATTGCAACTAAGGTAATTTGACTTCAGTCATGATTTCTTCAGTCAATTATTCTTAAATTTTGTATGACTGAAAGGTTCTGTTGAAGAAGGAGCAGTAAATCAGAGGTTTAGGAAATATTTACATTTTTAATCAAAAGGACTTGTTGATGTCCGCATCAGGAAGTTATATTAAAGATACACATGCGACACATCATGTGGCCCTTAAGACTAAAACCTATATATCATAAGTATATAATAATTATTTTGGCAATGTAGACACTAATAATATCAACCTCTTTGTTTTGACTCCTCTTCTATGATTCCTTAAAATAAATTGGTCACAGCAAAAACATTTATCTTGTACATCAGGAGATACGCGATGAGAAATAATTTACTCATATCTTAAGTAACAGCCTAATCATCAGATGTGGAGATGCAGATGCTAAACAACTTGTTGACTAAGGGAAAAGAAACAGGGCTTTCGTGCCAGTAAGCAGATGTGCTCAATAGACTGGCTCATAAGCGCTGATTTAGAAACAGCTGCTAATGCTACCATCATCTTTAATATAGCTCATTTCCCACCACTTCCTTTGTTTTCTGTGCATACATATGCTTGCTCTATACAGTCAAGTTGTGCTAGTCAAAGGGTGGAGAAGAGGGAGTGCATTTCAATAAACAGTAGGCAATCAGGACCTGATTCTGGGAGGTGGCGAGCATGCTCAGGCCCTGTTGGAGTTAACTGCCTTGAGAAATATCATAAAAGCTTTGTAAATCTTTTTATGTTTGTCACAGATCTTTAAGTTTCTTTAAAGGATATAATTTTTTGCAATAGTTGTAAATGTCACTACTAGTTCTTTCACTGGGGGGAATTTCAAAAACTTTTCAAGTTCACTTCAGTAAGGATTTTTTTCTTTCTCCTTTATTTTTATTTTTATTTTTATTTCTTTTTCTTTCAGTCATTCAGTCACTTTCTGTCACTCTTGATCTTTATTCTATTCTATTCTATTCTATTCTATTCTATTCTATTCTATTCTATTCATTCCATTCCATTCCATTCCATTCCATTCTACTTCTTTTATTTTCCATCTTCTTTCTTTGTCCTCTCTCCTTTATGTTTCTCAGAGATTCATGTTTTATGTAAGACCTGAAAGATTTAAATGAGTCGTGTGCTTAAAAAATCATGTTTTTCCATGAACCAAGATAAACGGATGCTCTGAACTACTTCTCACAAAGTTTGCTTTACTTCCTTTCCATTACTAAAATAACAATGGATCACATATCAGTAACAATTATACCCTCTCTAACTGACTCTTCAGCTCCAAAGGAAGTTCAGAATTCCAATATCTAAATCTGATCTCTAAAGGAAATAACAAGTGAAGTACCTGTCTCATGTTATTAGCACATGAGCATTAAAGTCTTCATTTAGAGTCTATTGAACTGTATGAAAAAACTCACACTGATGTAAGTGTACTTTGGATCAGATTAAAAGTGGACTTCAGTACTTCACAATGGAGGACATAAAGAAATATATATTAAAAAATATTTTGTATATATATAATGTATTCCCTTATATAAGAACCCTGCTGTATATTAACACAGCAAATAGCATCAAAATAAACTCACAGTATTTTCAATTATAAACTTCACTATAAATTATTTCTAGTATTTGAGAATAATTGTTGACATACCAAAAAGGCAACTTATCTATAGTAATGTCTATACTTATGTCTATAGTAAACCGGATGCAGTTTATGTAAAGTAATGAATAAAAAAAAGCCCTTTTTTTTTGCCATTTTAACATGAATGTTACCATTTTCTCTTTATCGGAAGGCTGTATGTCCATCAGTAGTATATTTTCTCCTATGAGATTGTCAGGATTACTCTCTTCCTTCTACACTCAAGAGAGCACATGCAAAGATAGCTGGAGTCATTGCAGCCCAGCTTTCCCCAAATGCCATGTTTCCCATTCAATGGGTCACATGCAGACATAGCGTTACATATATGCAGACTCTGACCTCTACTAATCTCTAGTGGAGGCACTTTAAGGCATGATCTCATGAGCTGATCTGAAGGTTGGTGATGTGAGTGAAGAAGTACTCCCCAGTCTGGATTCAGCTACTCATTACCTGGAAGCTGGTATCAATCTTTTGGGTTTAATGCTCAAGAAGACTGACTCCTCTCAGTTCTGCTGTTGTGAAGTGGCCTGAATTATAACAAGCAGAACCAAAATGTGTCATTGTAAAAAATGAAAACCAGAATAATTTATTAAATTGCAGTAGAAAACAGTAAAAAAATGTCAGCTCAGCAGATGTGAGAATTACTTTTGTCTGTGAGAGAACAGAAATGAGAACCTGTAGCAGAAGCCAGGCAGTAATCATCCTGCTCACTCCTGTCCCATCTAGTACAGTGTCTGACTGGTCATGGGAGTATTAGCTTCGGTTTCTCAAGTATCCACAAATGAACCAACCACATCCAGAAGGCCTGGATGTCGCCTATACCACTAAGTTAAAGTAGGTTGCATCCAGGCTGTGCACTGAAACTTTTACTTCAAATTTTTCTTGAAACCATGTTTTCTATACATTATTACTCTGTTCTAGGCTTTGGATGCTGTGAATTATTCTGTAAATGTTCAAGATCAAGGACATAAAAATATCCAAAGAATTGCTTGGGCCTTTTTCAATAATTTCAATCATTACTTCAATCCTGTAATTTCTTTTTACCAAAAAAAATTTCTTGGCACCTTTTTCATAAGTAGTGTGATAATATCCTGTGATAATGGGTCCAATCCAAAGTGTATTATTTTTGATGTTTAGATTATGATTGCAGTTGCATCTACTGGACTATCTGGCACAAATAGAGCAGTATCTTTTGAAAAGGAAATGTCACTGCTTAAAAAACCCAAAACAAAATAACATTATCACTTTTCTCCCAAAGCTGCCAATGCTGTATCCTTTTGAAGACGTTGTTTTCAAGACACTTCTGATACCAGTCCTGAGTATGATAATTTCCAACATCACAGCAGCCAGTAATAAATACCTTCCCTCTTACACTTACTTCACTTTGCAAGTTAGATTTTTTTGGCTCTGATGAGTTGACTAGAGGAAAAGATGTGCTGTGCTTTAAGGCACTTAACTAACCTGGAATCATTTTGCTCTGTTCCCAAGTGATTTGCTTTAACAGCACACTTTGGCTTTTACAGGAATATAGAGTATTAAAGAAAGAAACAAATACTCTTCCTTCCTATATACTTATACAAAGATACTGATGCTACATATCAGTTCAATTGTAGTAAAATTTTAATGTAAAATTCAAACTGATAGTAAAGGTTAAGAACTGTGAGGTTTCCTGGATGTGTAAGACAGATTCAGCAAAACAGCATTTTTGTGGCTCTATTACTCATGTTGTACAATATGTCCTGCTGTGCCTGTTGCTTACTGATTCTTTTAAAACTCTGAAACACATTCAGCTAAACACAGCAGAGGATATACCAGCATTGCAAGCTTTCTTGCTTTTTTTCCAAGTTAAATGTTGCAGGCATTGTTTATTTTTCTGTGGAACCTTCATCTGAAGAGCTGCACACACACACACGTTTTCAGCAACATTAACTACAAATGAATCAAACCGAACAATATTCTGTTCATACTGTTCTCAGTGACAGTACTTGAAGCTGATCAGAAATCAGCCTTTAATCTGGTCTAATATATTTGACAGCTGCTATGCACATCTTTTTTTTTTTTTTCTTTACTTTTCTTTTGGCTATTGAAAAATATTGTGGTTTGCAGTGCAAATAATTTAGGTTTACTTTTCCCTCATATATTTCCATACAGAGATGGGGAGGAGGGGAAATGAGTTTCAGCTGGAGAAAAATCTTGGGGTTTAATGTGACTTAAACACAGATATGTTTTTAGTCTTCCATGTTATGAATTTCTTTTTCATCCTTACCTAAAATTATTTGCTAATTTTGACTCAAATTTATAAATGCCTTGCCTCCTGACTTTGGGGGTGTTTATTTGTCTAAAAATGTTTATGAGGGTCTATGGTTCAATGTAGCAAAATAAAGGATCAGTTGACTAGAATAATTTGAATACATCTGTGAAATAGACAGGGAAGTCTTAAGCTGTTAGAGTAAGAAATGATCTTTCAGATACTCCAGCAAGTTAAAAAAAAAAAAAGGCACCTTTAAAATGCTGCACCTGAAAATCATCACTAGCTTACAGAAACAAAGCAGAAAGCAATGCCAACTATCCAGGCAAGTTGTTTTGCAGAGTAACTACCCTCTGATGAAGGGTTCTTTGTTACTCAACATGTATGTTCTTTTGCACTGTCCCTTGATGGGAAACATTTTGCCTCTGTTTCTCTCCCTGACAAATGGCATTACTATGCTTTTCAAGGGTATGTGATCTTTTTAATGTTTTCTAAAGGGCTCGGAGATGTTCCTATGGAGCTGTCTGTAGCAGATAGCCCAGCTGTCTTCTTAGAGTAACCCCTTGTCCTCCCTTGCAGTCATTATCCCCAGTGTTCACATCCTATCCAAAACTAAATTGCCTGATCTTCAGGGAAAGCTTGCTAAGCTCTTTACCCTCCAGACAGAAATGCACATTAGAAAAATGCAATCCCCAAGTGCTGTGCTACAGGTAGAAAGTTCATTTTTACCTTCAGTGACTCCATCTCTATTTTCTTGTTTTGTCTTTCTTGTGTGAAGGTGAAAGTTTGGTTCCAGAACAGGCGGATGAAGTGGAAGCGTGTAAAAGGGGGCCAGCAAGGAGCAGCAGCCCGTGAGAAGGAACTGGTGAATGTGAAAAAGGGCACGCTGCTCCCCTCTGAGCTCTCCGGCATCGGCGCCGCTGGGCTCCAGCACACGGGGGACTCACTAGCCAACGACGACAGCCACGACAGCGACCACAGCTCTGAGCACGCACACTTATGATACACAGAGAGTGTCCCAGCTCGGTTCTCAGGAAAGATGCTTTGCTGGCAAGCCTTACACAGGCATCGTTTACTTATGCAAGTGACTCTGGAGGTGATCTTTAAAGTTGTAATGGAAAATTCAGGCTTAGTATGTCTGCTTTTCTCAATTCTTAGATGGTTTACAGTAAGTGCCATGTCTTAAAGGTGCCTCAAGATTGGAGAAGTGGAAGACAAACTTACTTTGAACATTCCAGATTTGTTTGTCGTTTTTATGACAGCGGGCAGGTATTTTTGCTTAAGCTTGCACTGAAAATTACATTGCTCTCAAAAGACGTTATATTCTGAAAACCACAGTGCCACAAAATCACTATCTAGTGGATAAGAAATGTATTTTAACTCTGTATATATTTACCTTACAGCATTTTTCTGTCTTCACTAATTTTTAGCAATGCATTCATATTAGCTGATGGCAATAGTCACTCATGACAATAAATGGCTTTTTGTCTCTATATCTTTGTTTTGTTTTTCCAAAGACATACAATACATGCAGATACTTTTGTTCAAGTAGAGAACAATACAATGGTGTCTGCTAGGACACATCCTTGTATGACAGACAAAACAAACCTTATGTTGCATTTACTATCAACTGCTGCTAATAGGGTATTATTAAATTTACCTAGCTCCTCAATTCTTCCTATCTTGTAACTGCAAAAAGTGATTTTTACGATCATAAGGGTAGTCCAGTAACCTGACAAAAATGTCATGTTCCATTCATGCTCAGTGGAAACTTTCCAAAGGATTATTCATTTCTACTTTGCCATAATTGAGTACATTGATAAATGCTGACACTCTGCAGAAATGTTGTTGCTTCATGTTCAGTTTGAAAAAAACAGCAGATAAACTGAAAGTTATTATCAACCGCTTATGTTGGTAGGAATCAAAATATGAAGGTAACTCTATATTGTGTCCCATATGTAAAATCAAGACACATTTTCTATTATAAGCTTTTGTGTACATACAGGCAAATACAAAACCCCAAAATTTAATGCAAACTATTGATTGTACTTTGTAAAGAAATATGTTTAATAAATAATCCTTTTTAAATAACTCCGGTCTCTGTGCAGTGATTTCATAGGACTCTAAAAGTGATTTTTTGTCTAAGCAGCTCTGTCTCTTTTTGTGTCTTTTGGAACTTCATCTGGGAACAACACAAAGCTGTTTTCAAATTTAGGCTTTTAATCTTGGATAAACCTTCTACCTTGATCCATTTGGGAAACTCTTTCCTTTAGCAGGAAAAATTTAACTAGCAGCTAATGATGTCTTTAGCCAAAACCAACAAGAGTCTGTTCAACCATTTTTCCAGATTTAGAGCAAATGTAAAAGGTTATTTTGTTGAAGCTTGTTGAATTGGATGAAAGGGAAGAAATATAAGGAAGGGACGCATACTTATATTAAACATGCCTTTGTTCAATAAAGTTGTTTAGTAGAAAAATCTCAAAGCAACTTCCCAAAAATTCAGAGATTAATTGCATTGGGTAGTGTGATAGAAGGAAATGAGTGAAAAAAAGAGGGAGCAAGAAATGTGCATATCCTAGCAAATGCTTGAGCATTCACTGAAACTCTGCTATGTGGAGCAGTAGGGGACCATGAAAGTTAAATGCAGTCAAGAAATCTGTGTCTATTTTCCAAATCCTTTCCACTGTAAGTTTGATCTTTCTTGCACATTAATTGTTGTCATGACCATTTTAGTTTAAAATATCCAAGCAATGGGTAATTAATTTCTTAAAAGACTTCAGAGCACTTTATTGATTCCAGCAGTTAAGGGGCTTTGCATTTTTTTCTCAGTTCTTTTTCAAATGCCTTTGACATACGAAAGTGCTGAGAACAGGAATGGGATAAGAGAAGTAAGCTAACAATTGTGAACACTTGATATTTTTGATTTTGTGTCTGGATGGGAAAAGCTTTTTGGGTTTTGCAGGAATTGTCAGAACAGAAAAAACAATGATTCTAAGAAAAACTAAAGCTTTTTACTCTTAGCTATTTTTAATTCCCTCATAAATTAAATATAACTACATTGCAAAATGAAAAACTACAATGGAAAGTTGAAAATAACACTTTTTAACCACAGAGATTTTGTCAAATGTAAGGTGATTGGTTTTGCTAGTAAAGAGGAGAGAAGATATCTTCCAAGTACTGTTGGCCAAAAATGCCTTTCAAGGTTTGCAGGATTGTTTATTGCTGTCATTCATGAAAAAATTACAACTGCATCTGAAAACAGATCAACCTCATTTGAGCTGACACTTTACAAAACAAATGGAAGTGATTTATTTACATTACCTGAAATGCACCAAGGTGTTCCTAGCCCAAGGCATTTTGTGAGGTGTGTTACTCTGTTAGTGGAAAAGGGATTGGACTGGGTTACTTGCCATGGGGAAGCAGCCAGCTTTTGCTATTGACAAAGATATTATTTTTCCATTTTCTTAGTTTTAACTGAATCTGCTGAGATTTAGAGCACAGGTTGAAGAGAAAGAAAGGTACAAATAGATTTACAGTGCAAGGAGATAGATGTTTTTTGTTTTTTTTCTTTAGGTCAGTGAATGAACCTTGAAACAAAGAATCAAATTATTTAACTTTATATTACAGAACAAAAAGACGACTAAAAAAAATTGAACTTCCCCTATGCTTTAAAAGCAGCTCAGACTTTGAAAATGGCTGTAAGGTGCTATCTCTAATTTCTCTGATTACTTCAAGACATCTGGTGGATTTAAACAGTTGTTTGTCGGTACACCATTGGTGTGCACACTGTGGCTCAGAGATCCTACACTGGCAGCGGCTGAACCTGTGAAGTCCAGGCACACTGATCTTCCTACTACGGTCTTGAAGGAATTTCTTTGCATGCTCAGCCCCACAGAAATACAGACATGCTTCTTCCAGATTTCAGCTAGCTTGTATTCAAGCCACATAGAACAGCATCAAATGCCCCATGCTTTAACACCTCTCTGTGGGTTAGTGGGTCTGCTCAGGACTCATCAATACAGATGGTGTCTCGTCTTCTTCCGAATACTCTAATTACCCAAAAACTCTTTTATGGAAGCTCCTGGGATCAGCCACATACGGTAAAATGCTATGATTTTATATCAAAGAGGTAGCACAATTTTGTTGCTGAAAACAGATATGGATAAAGGCTTTTGAACTATAACTTAAGGCTTTGTTTTATCTTTGTTGTTTTATATCTGTCTGCAGACTGTTAAGTTTTCTAGCAGTCTAGCCATGTGGTATAGCTAAGATTTTACCGTTTAACACATGGACAAAATCAAGCCCTAATATTGTGACTTGCCCAAAGTTGTGCAAGTAGTTGGTTACAGAGTGAAATGTAGATGTGATAAAACCTAGTCAGGTCAGTTTATTTTTATTATTTCCTATGATGAAATAGTGGCTAATCACTTTTCATGACTTGTCAATGAATTCATTGTCAATGAATCTGGATTCTGATGAATAATGAGTTTTTTGAGTTACCATAATTCTGTTATCATATTTCTCCTGAGTCAACCTCTCTTTGATGTTCTCTTGGTGTGTCTCTGAGCCAGATACAAAAATGTGCTTCAGGAACTATACGAGGAAAATACACTTAATTGTAAAAGGACAGTGATGTTTAACAGTTTAATTTCCAACATGATGGATGATAAGAATTCTTTTTTCTCAGGTACAAAGATATATATTAATTGCAGGGTTTCTTTCTCTCCCTTTATGACTGTTTTTTTTCCATTTCAGGTGGTTTTTTTTTACTTTAGCTTCATTATATTAGATTTTCTAGACAATGGCAGTTCAAGAGATACTGTTAAAATAATACCATTGCAAGGTGGCTGAACTTATTTAACCATATGCTGAAAGTAGTACCTTTTCTTGACTTTTCATTGGATCCAAAAGTAGTCAGAAAAAACGGAGCACAAGAAGAAACTCTATACCTGTGTCTTTTTCCACCATAGGCCAAGTTTCAAGATAGTTTATCTATCTTGATAGTTTATCTATCTATTCTGACTGCTTCAATAATATTATTTGTACAAATAAAGAAAGAAACACCATTAAGACATGCACTATTAGTAGCTATGAGGAGACATAAGAACAAAATAACAGCTTGAGTCTTCATTTAGAATTTAGTGGCTTTAGTCAGTTGGTGTCTCTTGGGTGAGCTTGTATTTAAGAGAGTACATGCAGTATTTAAGATCAGCTACGAGATTCAAGAAATTTTAGAGAATAACATTTAACTAATAATGAGCTGTAATTTAATATCATTATGTAATGTGTGTGGATTGAAAAGGAGAATTTAGTATACAACTTGATGCCTAATTCATTTAAAAAAGGCAATGTAGCGCATAACCAGCAGTAACTGGCATAGGGCTTTAGTAGTGATGGACACTATAACCTTTGATGAATAATGACTCACTGGAGTTCATTTGCTTTTATATATTTCTTTCCATTTTAATTTTAAGCCCATGGTCTTTTGGCATCATTTACAGCTCAAAGCTGTGGTGTAGGAATCAGTTTCAATGTAATTTAAGGCCCCTGGCTGTTAGTCAGGGCCTCCATATGGCATAATATGAGGTTATCACATTCATCTGTAAAAACTGAAAATGTCTTAGCAGTTTCTTAGACCTTTATTACCTCTGTCCAAATCGTGCATGCAGGGCTATCACCTGAACAGTAGACTTGGCTGAGATCAATAAACAGAGAAGACCCCACAAAGCATTGACCCCACAAAGAGTTTGTTAAATGGAAGCTGTAGTAGGAAATAACCATAGTTCCTTCTTTTATTTTTATTTTTTTTTATTTTTTACTTTTCCCCCAGCACTTTTCCTTAGGAAAACTCCAAATATTTTAAAAGAAAGGGCACTCAAGAAATTCATACTGTCCACCTTGTATGACAGGCCAAGTAGGATTGGCCTTTATGACACCTTGTATGACAGGCCTTGTGGGATTAGATTCAGGGCTCTAGTAAATATCCTTCGATGGTTCTTTTTTTTTAAATATTATTTATCCCTTGAATGCCTTCCATGAAAACCTATTCCAACTCTTGTAACCCCCACTCCTTCCTTTAACAGGATTCACAAAAAAAAGAGCAAATACGTGGTTCTTCAAAGAAGAATTGAACAATATAGTTAAAGTAAAAGAATGTGATTCAGGATATTAAATAATTATTAAAATAGTACTAATTCTGTTCAGAGGACTAATTGACAGTAATAAAGTGTGTTGCCACATTCCTGTTCTTTCCATAAATGATTTTTTCTATTGCTGTTTGTAATTTGTGAACTAAAAACTTTAGAAATCTTTGTGTATTGTGTTTATTAACGTTATATACTCCTATTTAAATACTCAATTCTGTTGTCTAACAGAATAAGATTACTAGCTCACAGATTGACATCTCTCCATAAAGAAAAAATTTGGACACTAGTAGTTTTCTGCTAATGTTTGGATTATTTTTGGCAAATTTTGAAAATTTACTATCCATTAA